GTTATTATGTGGCTGCTTTGTATTATGACCCCTCCACCTCTCTCTCTCTCCTCCCTCTTTCTCGGAAATTAGACTTTTGTTGATAATGTCAATGTGTTGAAATCTAATTTTGGAGGAGTATTACACATATACTTTACTCTTTTATGTCATTCTGTGGCTGTCTTGAATAATGATCTCTCCGCTTCTCTCTCTCTCTCTCTCTCTCTCTCTCTCTCTCTCTCTCTCTCTGTGTGTTGTGCGCGCGCTCATCAGTTTTCTTTCTTTTGTTGTCAATTTTGTATATTTGTCTGTTTTGACTATCCCACTCTGCCCCCCCCCCCCCGCCTCCAGCCACCACCCTTTCGTCTTCTATTGATTCCTCACCTCTTTCGTCAGACAGGCACTAGACCTCAGCCAGCTGGTGTCACGTCCTCCTGTTCTTGCCCGCTGCATGTACCTCTAGTTCTGCTAGTGGTTTCCCCTTTCTCGTGTTTCCCTAACACCCCCCCCCCCCCCACCCCCCGGTTCTCATTACGACATTTTACTTATATTATTATTATTATTATCTTACCATCCATCTTCACTAGTGCCAGCATACTACTATCGCTAGATGTTCAGCTGGAATTTGATTAGTTCTTTTCAAAAGTTTCATTACTTATTCTTTCATAGATACCTTACTTTTTGGCCGTCTGCACAATGAAAGTTGGCTACAAGTATAACATAGATAAGTTCTTTGGAATAACTATAGGTGTGGGGGTCTGATATACATCTTTGAAACTAAGGTCCACTGGTCTTAGCCTAGTTGTTTATGTAACTGGAACTATTGGGACGCCTTTCCTCTTCTTATAGTCCATGCCTTGTGACGTTGGTTGTCATGTCTGTCCACAGCCTTCTGTCTCAGTCTACCCACTGCTGCCGTTGAGTATATTAAGTGTCTGGCCCCCATCTCTTCATCTTGCCACTCTCGTACCATTGTCCGAAAACCGCGACAACAATATTTGTTAAACGAACCACCCCTCACGGAAATCGAATCCCGGTAATCGATGATTCCTACATTTCCCTTTATCCTGAACAGACGCAGGTCAATGAATGTTTGTATTTTATTAGTAACTGCTTCCGCTGTTATCTAATTTACGTCCTTGTTTGATATCTCCTTAAACTTATATTGTTCTGGGAAGATGGTAGAATAGATCAGGAAATAAAAACAAAATGCCAACGAGCCAGTATATTGTTTTGGGAGGATGGAAGAATAGATCGGAAAATAGAAACAAGATGCCAACGAGCCAGTATATTGTTCTAGGAGGATGGAAGAATAGATTGGAAAATAGAAACAAGATACCAACGAGCCAGTATATTGTTCTAGGAGGATGGAAGAATAGATTGGAAAATAGAAACAAAATGCCAACGAGCCAGTATATTGTTCTAGGAGGATGGAAGAATAGAGCAGGAAATAGAAACAAGATGCCAACACTTATATATCAGCAGACACTGTTATTAAGACATCTAACCATAAGTATAAGCGCCAAGAAACAGATTATAAACAGCATATTCATACCAACACTGTGCTACCAGTGCAAGACTCGGACATTATCAAAGACTAATCTATGTAAAATTAACGCCTGTAAAATGCGATGCATGAGAAAAGCCACCAACTTAACCATCCGAGATAAAGTTAGAAATGATATCAGACAGACTGTACGTACAACAAATGCAAATTCATTGAGAAACAGAAGATCAAATGGTTTGGTCATTTAATAAGAATGCAGCCAGAACAACTACCATTGCAGGCGCTACAAATAAACGGATCTGAAGTGAAAGCAAGAGGTCGTCCTTGGATAATATGGATTGATGACATTAAATAGTTTCTACACCGACACAGAATGACAATATCCATTGCTGCCCATCTAGCAGTGAATCGCAAACTGTTCCTCCATACAACGCTCAACGGCAGAAGTGGAAACTGGTGATGATGATAATTTCATATCAGATGAACGCCAGTAATTGTAATTACAAAGAATATGTGACCCACCCCAACCTATGCAGCATCAATGTATGTAGGTGAAGTCTGAAGCAAGTAGATACCCGATACCAGCTAATGGGAGATGTGTTCAAGAAGTTCAATGTAGAATAGCTCAAACAATGGCCGTATTTCACAAAATACAAAATATTCTGCAAGATAAGGACCCTTGCTTCCCAAATGAAGGAGGACCCTTGATGTATGACAAGCTAGATGTTGTAAGGGCCCTTTGGCAGGGAGTGAACAATGCAGAGGCAACAATAGATCATCACCTTTCTTTTACTTGGTATTTTGTGTGTGTGTGTGTGTGGGTACTTATGTAACGCCGCCCTTTGTTAAGTTTTGATTATTACTGTTTTCTTTGCCAGGGGAAAAATTGTGGGCGCTGTATATAGACTGTATTGTTGTTTGCATGTGAAACGTGGATAGTAACCAGACACGTTGAAAACATCTAGTGACAGAGGCCACAGTTTGCTGACAAAACAGAGAAGGGTACAGTGGGCGGACAATGAAAACAAACGAAGCAGTCCTGATATAGTGCGTTTCAAAACGAACGCCCTGGCACTGAAACAAACATCTCCAAAACTGCTGTAGAGAGTAATACGAATGTTTGCATGTGACCTTAGACTTCCCATGTACTTATGATTGTATAATTTACAATTACACAGGTGCTGCTGCTTTCCTAATAATGTTTGGCTAATAATTTGTGTATCCCAACAAATTTAATATACAGTTTCTCACACATGGGTGACGATTGTTTGGAAATTAGTTCACGGTGCAGGGATGCGCGATGAATGCTTTGATAGCATATCCTGCATACAATAAAAAAATCCCCAAACTCTCTGTAGACTTTACTGGAGGCAACCACATGAGAGTAAAACGCATATGAAGCGCTGTAAAATTTCAAGTTTTGAAAAGTTCCTCTTACTCAAGTTACAGTAAGCATGCTGATAGTTTGCATTGAATCGGTCGGTGTCTGGATTGTTTATAGGTTGCCAGATTTTGACAACTGACACCGGGCAGTTATGTATTTTTAAAGTTGCACAATACTTTTGGATAAATACTTTTTATACAGACTGATTGAAGGGGAGTCAGAGGTGCGCCGACAAATGTGGTGATGGTTAGTGTTCGCCAGTACTGGGGTTCAGACTGGTCAAGATCTTTCTGCATGTCTCCATTGTCATCCTAGACTAGGGCTATTCAACTAAATTTTCCCAGGGGCCAAAAATGTTTAAAATGTTGATCATTACGGGCCAGAGACCTGAGTCTCAACATAGAAAGATCATTGATACAGTACAACTTGAAGAAATCAGCGGGCCATTTGCTAGACTACCACGGGCCATATTTGACCCACGGGCCTCCAGTTCAATAGCCCTGTCCTAGACACAAGTTCCCAAATGGGAACCTGGCCAAAGGATCACAGTTTATGTCTAAGTCGGAAGGCAGCAGCTAGAGACGCGAGGAACGAACAGTCCGCATATAATACACTAGATCTGTAAAACGGGTGTAAACGCAATTCTCAAGTGCTGGTGCAAGATAAAATTCCACGCAGGGACGAACAGGCATGACTTTCCGCCAGAGTTCACAGTCTAAGAATGCAGAAGAAGAAAACAGTTATAAGAATTCTTATTCTTCGTGTTTACCTTCTGTAAACTCCAACAGCAGAAAGTTCTGGTTTTAGGTCGACTTCTGAGTTTCTTATATCACAAAACTTTCCATCACCATCTGCTTTTTCTGGTTGTGGCTAGACATCTGCCAGCCTGTCTGTTGGACTAAAGCTATCGGGCATGAATCTGTCTTAAATAAGATTCTTTATAACAAGCCTAGGCTTCCAAGTGACCCAGCCTTAAATAGATACCAAGAAAAGTAATTTGAAATGCAGGAGTTTTGAGTCTCTTATGACATGCTTGTTGGGGGAGGGGGGGGGGGTCTGTGGGTCTACCCCTCACCCCAAATTGAACCGCCCCTGAATCCACACAGAGATGTAAAGAATTGACATGATAACATACTGGCTGTACCCATAGATGCCCGGCCTCCCGCTGCAAATGTCTAGAGGGGCTATTCAACGGTTGGCCCACAAGTAGGTGTTAGTGTCTAATATGTCGTTGAGTCCACCAGTATATGCTTTCTTTCAGTAATTATACCGTCTATTTCGGTCTATCACAACCCTAAGATATTTGAACTTGTTGACCTGCTCCAGTTGAGACCATCCCATCATGATCTGATGTTTCTTCTCCTCTCTTGAGATCACCATGGTTTTTGTTTTGGAGATACTGATGGTCATCCTTCTCTTCTCAAAATCTTCCTTCCAGACAAGTCAGTTTTATTGAGGGTATGCATGTTATTTAGCTATCAGGGCCACATCATCTACAAATGCCAGCTCTGGTATACAGACTGGTCTAATCTTCCATACCTACAGAGTACTTTTTTGTCTTCTCCTTACAGGTCTTGATGACATCATCCATCATAAGAATGAAGAGGTAAGGTGAGAGAACATCACCTTGTCTAACACCTCTAGTGGTCTTAAATTCTTTTGACTTTTGGTCTGCTGTTCTTACATTACATAATATCTGCAGCTTGTATAGAAACTGTATTTCACTGGTCAAGGGTGCTGGAAAGTTCTTCCCTGCCAAGTAGTTCTAGAGCTTGCTCCAGGAAACCTTATCAAATGCCTTTTCTAGATCAAATGGGCATCTCACTCTTATATTCAAGGACATTTTCACTCGTCTGTCCAAATGTCAAGATGAGGTCTTGAGTACTTCGGATGGCTCTGAAGCCGCATTGGGCCTGATTTGGCTGTTTCGCCCAGACTTCTAAGTCTCTGCTCTAGAATCTTAGACTAACTTTTACAAGGATCACTGAGGAGAGATATGCCTCTGTGGTTTTTCGCATTATCTGTTGTTACCCTTTGTAAATAATGTTTGATGACTTCCGGACAAGAATTCAAAAATCGCTGTTTGTTTTATTTCAGCATCTGCCAGCATCACCGGGAATTGAAGCCACCATGGGTGTTTGTCGTCAGGTCGGGCGACAGAAGCTGTACATCGTCATCCTCACCCTTGCCATTGTCTTCATCTTCTATCAAGCATTTCCCTGCGACCCAGGACCCAGCGTGGTCATGGTGCCCAGGGATAAAGTCAAATTAATCTACGACAGAAACCATATGGCCATTCCTTATGACGAAAACATGCCGATCATCTTCGTCGGGGGCATGCCTCGAAGTGGCACCACCCTGATGCGCGCCATGTTGGATGCGCATCCGGATATTAGGTGTGGCGAAGAAACACGGGTCATCCCACGGATCATCGGCATGCGGACCCAGTGGGAGCGGTCAGCCTTAGAGAAAAAGAGACTGGACGAAGCTGGAGTCACCAGTGAAGTTTTGGACGCCGCCGTGAGGGCTTTTATCCTGGAGATTATAGCAAAACACGGAGCTGCAGCCCAACATTTGTGCAACAAAGACCCTTTCACTTTGAAATCCTCAGTATATCTCAGTCAACAGTTCCCCCATTCCAAGTTCATTCTCATGATACGGGACGGCCGGGCTGTTGTCCATTCTATAATAACAAGGAAGGTTACTATATCCGGGTTTGACCTAACCAGCTACAGAAAGTGCCTGCAGAAATGGAACTCCGCTGTAGAGACAATGTACGCCCAGTGCCTGCACGTGGGCCCAGTGCGGTGTATGCCTGTCTATTATGAGCAGCTGGCACTGCATCCTAGGGAGTGGATGGGTCGCATACTTCAGTTCTTGAATATCCCGTGGAATGAATCCGTGCTGCATCATGAGGAGTTTATTGGCAAACCTGATGGCATTGCTCTTTCCAAGTAAGTATCTGCTAGCTCTCTTGTGTTCGTTTAGCATTCTCGTCTGTATGTTTAATTATATTTTTGAGCTACTGCTGCTGTGTCTCTTTCCCCGTCTCTCCCTCCTGACCTCCTGCTCTTCCTTTTCTTTTCCATCTCATATTCCAGCTTCTTCTCCTCCTTCTTTTTTTTTCTTCCTCCCCCTATTCTTCTTTCTCTTCCCCCTCCATGCTGTTGGTCTTGCTGTACGAACTGAACTGACTTTCTACCCCACCAGGACATCACACAAGCGATAAACACCCTATGACACAAAGTGCCACCATGTGGATGAGGATCACCCGTAGAGAGGTTCCAGAAACCACATTCAGCGATTAGGCCATATAAATGGCCGGGCTATATTGTGGCCCCTGACAAGAGCCAGGGTAGGGCTTCAGAATAACGAAAAATTGCATCCCACAACGGGAGATTACGTAACTTGCTGTACCCCATTCCACAGAATATATACCCCCAGCCCGGAGCACTCCCCCTGTAATCATAAACATCCTGATTCTATTTCTCTGTAAATAATCGTGTCTTCGTTTCTCTCTGTATAATGTCTCTCCAGTGTTTGCGTAATCTGCCGGTCTCCTAGATCCGCGGAATTATATCGCTGGTTTGTGTTCTTGGCTTGCTTGAACCGCCAGTTACTGGGAGATTTCATTAGTTCAATGTGAGCTGACAATTCTGATGCGTTCAATTCAGTTACCTTCGTTAATGATAAACTTTTATGGTCTGAAATGGTAACTCTCTCTCTCTCTCTCTCTCTCTCTCTCTCTCTCTCTCTCTCTCTCTCTCTCTGTCTCTTTCCCTCTCGGATAAGCAAACACCCCCCTCTTTATATATATACACACACAATCTCTCTCTCTCTGTGTTATAAGCAAACACTCATATCCGTCTCTCTCTCTCTCTCTCTCTCTCTCTCTCTCTCTCTCTCTCAAACATAATGTGCTGTTAATTTTCTCTCCGCAGAAGCGCCTCCTGTTCTCTTTGTTTTGTTATCATGGGCATACGCTTGTCTAAGATATAATATGCCTGTTATGGTAGGTCGATCGTTTCTTTGCATTTGTCTGTGTAGTTTTCCAGTGACTTGTCCCCTCTAGTTTCGTTCCTAAAATATTCCCACTAAAATTGCTTCCCCGCCCTCTTTTTTTTCTACTGCTGCATAACGCTTGAACGCTTCTACCATTTCGTCCCTACTAATTTTACTGAATTCTGCTTGAGAATCAGCCGAACACACATGCCGCAGTTGTAACTGACTCATAGAGCTTGTTGAGAAAGGTGGAATCAGGCATGCTTCGTGCAGGATGGCAGGCATCACTTCAGAGATCCAGGTGATGCCGGTGTGTTGGGGAGTGAGCAGGCGGATAGACTGGCCCTTTTCTGCACCACTTGGTGGTGAATTGATGTACGGCAAGCTAGATGTTGTGAGAGCCCTTTGGGAGCGAGTGAATAGTAGGGAGGCACAGATAGATCGTTACGGCCTGAGGAGAATGGCGCTGCGAGAAGTTACCAGGGGATCTGGCCGGCGCTCAACACTCAGAGAAAGGATAGGACGGAAATTCAGTCAGACATGTACTGATGCTAACGGAATTGAACTTCTTCGCTTGCTGCTGAAGATGCGGCCGGAGCGCTTACGGGAGTGTCGCAAGTGTTGCGATGTCAATTCTTAATTTAACATCCTTCCTGAATTCTACACATCCTCTTGTGACTTTTAGGGTCAACGAACTTTCTTTAAATGTTGGACTGCAACTGTCTTTGCCATCCAAGCCTGTTCTACTTCTGGGGTCCCCCGTAGAGGCTGCATAAAAGTAGAACAGGTGGTTCTGTATCATTGAAGATAGATTATAGAGAGAACGAAGTGAAGGCACGATTGTATAGAGAGTGGAGACAGGATTATATATATATATATATGTATATATATATATATATATATATATATATATATATATATATATATATATATATATATATATATATATATATAGTGATTATACACAGAAATACGAAAACATTGGAAGTAGAGACACGATTATATAGAGAGAAGTGGAGACAAGATTATACACCGAGAAGAAGAAACATTATCGTAGAGAGAGAAGTGGAGACAAGATTATACACAGAAATAGAGACACGATTATACACAGAGGAATAGGTTAGTTGCGTATCCTTTACAGGGCGTTGCAGAACCAACCACAGCAGCCCCTGGCTGTTGTGTGGTTTCTCTAGGCAATTACGTCCAGTAGTTCGCCAGCGCTTTCTGGATTGTCGGGCTCCCTGATACCACTGTCGAAACCAACGCAAGGCGCATGGCCCGCGGCTGGGATCGAACCCGTCACCCAGGCATTACGAAGGCACAGAGAAATAGAGACACCATTATACACAGAGAAGTAGAGACCCCATTATACACAAAGAAGTAGAGACACCATTATACACAAAGAAGTAGAGACCCCATTATACACAAAGAAGTAGAGACACCATTATACACAAAGAAGTAGAGACACCATTATACACAAAGAAGTAGAGACACCATTATACACAGAGAAGTAGAGACACCATTATACACAGAGAAGTAGAGACAAGATTATACACAAAGAATTAGAGACACCATTATACACAGAGAAGTAGAGACAAGATTATACACAAAGAAGTAGAGACACCATTATACACAAAGAAGTAGAGACACCATTATACACAGAGAAGTAGAGACACCATTATACACAGAGAAGTAGAGACACCATTATACACAGAAAAGTAGAGACACCATTATACACAGAGAAGTAGAGACACCATTATACACAGAGAAGTAGAGACACCATTATACACAGAGAAGTAGAGACACCATTATACACAGAGAAGTAGAGACAAGATTATACACAGAGAAGTAGAGACACCATTATACACAGAGAAGTAGAGACACCATTATACACAGAGAAGTAGAGACAAGATTATACACAGAGAAGTAGAGACAAGATTATACACAGAGAAGTAGAGACAAGATTATACACAGAGAAGTAGAGACAAGATTATACACAGAAAAGTAGAGACAATATTATACACAGAAAAGTAGAGACAAGATTATACACAGAGAAGTAGAGACACCATTATACACAGAGAAGTAGAGACAAGATTATACACAGAGAAGTAGAGACAAGATTATACACAGAGAAGTAGAGACACCATTATACATAGAGAAGTAGAGACAAGATTATACACAGAGAAGTAGAGACAAGATTATACACAGAGAAGTAGAGACAAGATTATACACAGAGAAGTAGAGACAAGATTATACACAGAAGTAGAGACACAGTTATACACATTGAAGTAGAGTCACAGTTATACACAGAGAAGTAGAGACAAGATTATACACAGAGAATTAGAGACAAGATTATACACAGAGAATTAGAGACAAGATTATACACAGAGAAGTAGAGACCAGATTATACACAGAGAAGTAGAGACAAGATTATACACAGAGAAGTAGAGACCAGATTATACACAGAGAAGTAGAGACAAGATTATACACAGAGAAGTAGAGACAAGATTATACACAGAGAAGTAGAGACACCATTATACACAGAGAAGTAGAGACAAGATTATACACAGAGAAGTAGAGACAAGATTATACACAGAGAAGTAGAGACAAGATTATACACAGAGAAGTAGAGACAAGATTATACACAGAGAAGTAGAGACAAGATTATACACAGAGAAGTAGAGACACCATTATACACAGAGAAGTAGAGACACCATTATACACAAAGAAGTAGAGACACCATTATACACAAAGAAGTAGAGACAAGATTATACACAGAGAAGTAGAGACAAGATTATACACAGAGAGGTAGAGACAAGATTATACACAGAGAAGTAGAGACAAGATTATACACAAAGAAGTAGAGACACCATTATACACAGAGAAGTAGAGACACCATTATACACAGAGAAGTAGAGACAAGATTATACACAGAAGTAGAGACACCATTGTACACAGAGAAGTAGAGACACAGTTATACACATTGAAGTAGAGTCACAGTTATTCACAGAGAAGTAGAGACAAGATTATACACAGAGAAGTAGAGACCAGATTATACACGGAGAAGTAGAGACCAGATTATACACAGAGAAGTAGAGACCAGATTATACACAGAGAAGTAGAGACCAGATTATACGCAGAGAAGTAGAGACAAGATTATACACAGAGAAGTAGAGACAAGATTATACACGGAGAAGTAGAGACCAGATTATACACGGAGAAGTAGAGACAGGATTATACACAGAGAAGTAGAGACAAGATTATACACAGAGAAGTAGAGACAAGATTATACGCAAAGAAATAGAGACAAGATTATACGCAGAGAAGTAGAGACAAGATTATAGACAGAGAAGTGGAGACAAGATTATACACAGAGAAGTAGAGACAAGATTATACGCAGAGAAGTAGAGACAGGATTATAGACAGAGAAGTAGAGACAAGATTATACGCAGAGAAGTAGAGACAAGATTATACGCAGAGAAGTAGAGACAAGATTATACGCAGAGAAGTAGAGACAAGATTATACGCAGAGAAATAGAGACAAGATGATACGCAGAGAAATAGAGACAAGATGATATGCAGAGAAGTAGAGACAAGATTATAGACAGAGAAGTAGAGACAAGATTATAGACAGAGAAGTGGAGACAAGATTATACACAGAGAAGTAGACAGTCTGCTTATAGTAAAAGAGTTTTCCTGTACACTCTGCGAGGGTCCCTTGAGGTATACGATGTCTGTTATTTCATGGCTGAAAGAAAATCTGATAAGCTTGGTTGATTGCGTTATGAAAAATTAGGCCTGGTTTACTGATTTCAGCTGGTAAGATACTGCGTTCACTGATTTTTTCCTAAGATATGGATCTGATTTGCTGGTTTCATCTTGAAATCTAGGTCTGGTTGACTGACTTAGCCATTGGATGTAGGTCTGTTTAATCGAGTTTGGTAAGAAATGT